CCACAGCCAATCCATTTTGCCTTAAAATATCAGGCTACAACTTCCTCAGTTTAGTTCTGGGTATTGCTCAGCCCCATCCCAAACCAGCTGTGATGAGCAAGTACTACAGATGTTAGCGTAGGTTCTCAGCTTCTGTGCCATCCTCATTTATCCTCTTCTCTACTTCTGGGCTCACCCCAACTTTGCAATACTTCAGCTGCCATCCAAAATTCTGAGATCTTGGTCTACTGTCTTTTTATTCGTTGTTAAGTGGGTTACTGGGGGCGTAAATAGGAGCATCCACTCTTCATCTTGCTCTACTCCCCAATTTTAAATTTTACAATTTAAAAGTAATGGAAATAAATTTATGAAATTTTTATAGTTTTATACTTCTAACGATAACAAACTAGTTAAAAAACAAGAACAAGAGTTAAAAAGCAGTCTACTAGCTGACAAGGGACAAGGCGGTAGTCACTTCTTGGCCACAGCCAGGTACCCAGAGGGAGCAAACAGTTGGTCCTGTGGGCTTAGGACCATAGTCGCAGGGGAAATCAGGTTCAATTGGCATAACATACTACACAAAAACATCGTTCCACATCCCACTTTGTCCAGTAGTGACTGGGATTTAAAAGCTTACAAGTGTCCATGTAGATGCAATGATGGGTCTTTCCTCATCCAGAGCAAAGAAGAATGAAGAAAACTACAGATGCATGGAAACAATTAATCCAAGAGACTGGTACACCATGCAATCCTCAACCTATATGACTTTGAGACCAGAAGAACTAGATGGTGCCCGGCTACCACTGTCAACCACTTGGAGGGGAATGTCTGTAGGAGATCCTGGATAGAGTGGGAGAACAATGTGGAACAAAACTCAAAATCATTTATAAGAAGAAAAAAAGGGGGGAACCCAGTTTGCTGGTCTGATAGAGCCTTATGGAACCATTGAGGCTATGGCCCCTAGCTATCTTCAGGTCTGGAATTGAATCCACTCCTATAGCTTCCAGCCAAACAAAAGACAGGTATATACTAAACATTTACATTAGGCAGATACACTCCTTGGAGAGATCAATCATGGGAGAATAGAAGGGCTGTGCATGCACAGGGAGACAGCTCAGGGGGGGCATGAGTGCATGGGAGGGATGGACACAGGGAAGAGGTAACTATGGGGAGGAAGTGGGAAGGGAGCTGATGCACTGGGAAACTGCAGTCAATGTCATGAGACAAACTGTATATGAGCTGCTGTATGGAAAGTGAATTTGCTCTGCAAACTTTCACCCAAATCACAAAAATTTAAAAAATTTACTGCCTCAGTGTGTGTGAGGGAGAAGTAGCCCAGCCCTACTATGTATTTGATAACAAAAACCTCCCCATATTATTATAGCTTGTGTTCCTTACTGAAGAAAACTTAGAATAAACTGTACATAAATCATGTTTGTTTTTCATACAGAAGTATTAACAAATATTATCTTTAAGTTCTAAGTGGCCATAAATTACCAACTAGGAGTGGAAGACGGAGCAATCTACTTCTGTAGATACTGCCTTGGAAACCCAAGGAGGGGTCACTATGAGTCGGGTCCGACTCGACAGCACATAACAACAACAACAACAACAGGTGTTTTCTGAAACAGGAGTCCACTATCATATGCATTAAGATAATACCAATTATCAAGAATAAGCATACACTTATATTCGGTGCAAATTTAATTTTATTAAACCTTACAACGAACGTTGTGGCATTATCATTTTCCATTGTGTGACAATTCATTGGCTGGCATCTGAATACAGTACGTTTTGAAAGATACACAATGGGAACTGACAAAAGGGAAAGAAAACTAGCTGTTTAGTGACATGAGAGGGGAAAAAAAGGAATAAAAAAGATGATGACCAATTAATTTTAGTTTCTTTAGTATCTACCTCTAGAGTGGTTAAAGTTCCAAGCAATAATGTTGCTGTTACAATGTACTATATATGATTATCTCATCTGGCCCACACAAGTTTGAGAAAATAAATTACTTACAAGGATTATTATACCTGTAAATTAAGTCTAAAGTTTCTGCTGCACAAAATGATTTTAAAGAGCTACTTTCCAAATATAATCCAAACAATTTTCCCAAATCACAGTAGATGGGGTCTCTAAAACACTACACATTAAGTATTACTTTACTAGTAAGTAACTGCTTAACTTTAAAATCATAAAGGTTGCTAATTACCTTTTGCTGATTTGGGCTTATATCCCGGTCAGATTTATGGTAAGAAAATGACTATTTTTTAATCTATAATCCATTTATCTTTATAAAGTAGACTGGCATCCAATCTGAGTTAAATGACCAATTTCTTTTTTTTTTTTTTTTTACCAAAAATGATCACTAGTGGAACATCTAAAATTCAGCAGGCCTTAACAGGACATTTTTGTAGACATGTACTCAAAACTTACACATTAACTCCAGTCAACATCATGCTACAGTATACACTTTGACACAAATCAGTACAATTAGGTAAGTATTAAATTTACCCATCTGTGGTTTAAAAAAATAACACAAATTTAAGTATTTTATTCAGTCTCGCAATAATTTTGAGAATACTCTCTGAAGGCCTTATCAGTGTCTGAGGTCACATTAACCAATCCCCTTAAATATAAAATCATGGACAATTCTGAGCTGTTAAACTGACTTATTTTTCAAGAACTACCATGGCATTTAGGAAAATCACAGAGAAGTATGAATTATATCCTGATTGACATAAGGCATTACAGTTATCCAGTTCGAGGAATGGTTCTAAGATGTCAATTTTAAGTGGTATAAAAATGCTATCTAAGGAAATACTTATTTTATACTAGAGTTGCTCAATTCAAGTTCACTTGTAAAACAGTGTGAGATGGGCTTTACTACAAGAACATGTAAATCTTCCTCTCCCTCACCAAAACAAGTGAAGGAATATTAAATCATTTAAAACTGTTCATCTTTTACACAAAAATTATTAACCAATCTAAATTTGGAAGCTCTTACTGTCCTCATAAAGTTTTGAGTCTTAAGAAAGTACCTTGTGATTATATAATTCTTATACCATAGGTTTAGAGGTGGGTGACTTCAAAATACTGATGATTTCTAGAATATCCATCTAAATTACAAATTATTCTTAAACTATGTGGCAGCTCAAATATTGAATTAAATTTGCCCATGGTAAATAAAAGAGATTAAAGTCTCTTCATTAAAAGGGTGGAGAGTATTCATTTATATCCATTCAATCCACCATTTTCAGTGGTAAAATTAAATTTACAACCTATTAAAATGGGTAAGGATAGCTTTTTCAAAAATTACACCTCAATTTTTAACCAAAGTCTGTTCTTTTACTTATTTACTACGCTTCATTACAAGTTTTTTTTATTGAATAAAAATTATGATAAATCTAATGTGACTATTTGCAATGATAACTCTTTAAATACTATTAAATCAACCCTCAGAATAAAATGTCAGTACAAAAACCCAAGTGAGTGATCCAGCTCATTAAACTCACAGGTAAACTGAAATTTTTCTTAAATCAGTAAGAAGCTTTTTATTCAGAACAATTTCATTAAGACATTTGCAGGGCAAATATGCCATAAAAAATTTTATTCTGAATAACAATAAAGTGCTGAATGAGAATTACCTGAATCTTTTTTAGTACTTTTCATTTATCTTTTCTTAAGTTAAAAGAGCCCTTTCTGTGGCATTAGCAAAGCTGTTAAAAAATTTTAAAAAGTAGGAAAAAAAAAAAAAATGCTAACTTTCAGTAAGGGAATAGGAAGTACTGCAACCTTTTGTGTTTAACTATGGTAACAAATAATTGAGACCAAAGTAATTCATGCAAGTTATTTTTAAAGGTATACTTAAGCTTGAAGAAAGAAAGAACACGGTTACTGACCTTTGATACTATGGCAGTAAATTGCGTACTAAAATACTTTTATCTTAGATCTGGCTTGGCAAGCATCATGCCACTGACATGCTTTAGCTCTTTTTGTAACTAAAAGTAATTTGCAGTTTCATTACTGAATATTTCAATGTGACTCATTAAGCTGTGTGATAAACTCTTAAGTTAAATTTAAGCAAATTCTCTACACCTAATCACACCATCAGCACAAGCAGGACAATGCTGGAGCAGCATGAAAGGTGGGTCACTTTAAGACTCTTCCTTTTACTGCGTGATATATTAAGACGACAGACCTAAATTTCAATTGGGTTAATGAGTTAGAATAGATTTGTTTCCCAAATTTAGCACACAATAATTTCAGTGGATTGGAGAAAGAAATCTCAGATGTGAAGGAAAGAACAACAAAAAAAGATCGTGAGCTCAGAAAGCTAACCTGTAGCTCTAAAAATTGCCATGCTACAAAGTACTTTCATCAAATGAGCTTTGTAAGAAACTTAAAAAAAAAAGTGTGTTGAGTTGAAGTTGACCAACTGCTGCATAGAAAATATGCTAACATACAACAGTCAAGTTTAAGCCGGTGCATAGAGAAGATAAAGCACTTATGGTAACTGCAAATGGTAACAAGTCCATAAAGTTTGTACAACCTAGCAAGGGTCCACAAGGGGAAAAAACTGATAAGGAGAAATGATTAAGCAAAAATAAAGTGGAAACAGGAGCAAAGCTTAGAGAAGGAAGCAGGGGGAAAAAGATCTTCAATTGTATAAAATTCACAAACCAGTGAAGTAAAAAGACATCACTGAAAAACAGTTAACTCAGTCCCAAACATCCAACAGCAAACAAAACCAGAATAAACAGTAAGCCTTTGGCAAACAATTTTAGAAATTTGAATATGATATTACATTTCTCAATAATTCACTAACAATATATTATATGACATATTTATATTAAATACTGGGAAACCAATCCTGTAAATTTGATGATTATAATGTTTTAGCCAATGATAGCACAATGATATCAAGCTAAATGAATGCTGGTGTTATCACAACAGTGCTCATTTATGAAACAACTGTCACCAATTCGTGCTTTAACAGTGGTAATGTACAGTCAAATTATCATCTATGAAGTGAAACAAAGGTCTCTAGCTTTTCTGGTATATGCCCTTTATAATATATTCTATGATTCACTATGACACGAGCAGCAAGACACTGCAATGTGGTATGATTTATGGGCTGGATCAAATTTTTAGCTATTTCCTTCTCATCCAACAAGTCACTAGCAGTTTGTTTGTGCAAGTTTGTGGCATCAAAATGTGCACCTGATTTAATAAGAAGATTCATGATGTCTGGATGGTTGTTCAGAGCAGCGATATGTAGGGGACTGTTGTCATCAGAGTCTCTGACGTTCACATCAGCACCACATTCTATCAGTATTGCAGTAACTTGCAGAGATGGAAATTTACAAACAGGGTACCGCCCTACACATGTAGTATTCTTGTCCACAGCCAAGTGAAGAGGGCTAAAGTTATTTTTGCCCCTCGGATGTAACTTAAGAAACCTGTATATTGTCTGTTTTTTGAAATGGTCCTGTTCTAGAGTACAAGGAACTTTTTCTAATAAGCAAATTAAGTGCAAAATGATGGAAAGAGCCTTATTCAACTGCAATGGGTCAGCCGGACACTGAGTTTGTTTGATAGCTCTCTCTATTTCAAGGACACTTTTGCACAGAATGCCCATAAGATCATCAAATGTAACAGTAGTGCCCAGTAGGCCTTTAGCCCTATCCTGTAGCATAAAAGAGAACAGTTCTGCGAAAGACAGTAAGCTGCTGGCAGTCATTGGACTTAAAGGGTCCAAATTGTTCTGCTGCATATCCAAAGCATATTTCCATAGGTTGATGCATCTTTTGAAATTTCCAGAGTCTGCATAGACAGCGCCTCTATATCTAATATAGTAAGAAGTATCAGGGTGAGAAGGACCAAGAATACGTTCTCTAATTAATAGTGCTTGCATTCTCATCTCATCAGGATCAGCAATAAGGCCTTCAAGTTCTTCTGCACTGTTTACCTCCTTGGCATAATCATAAGCCATTATTAATGTCTGCGGTACTGGTTTGCTAATTATATTAGTCCTATCACTGTACCTCATGTTCATAGCTTTTTTCCAGTATTTCAAAGCTCCAAGTAGATCTCTTTTTTTGTCCACAAATGTAGCTCCCAGAAGCTCTAGAGCATTGATACGTTCTGTCTTGCTGGTCTGTGCATGATGTGTGAGAAAATCCACAATATTTGTGTGACCAGTCACACTTGCTGAGAGAAGGGGAGTCATTCCATAGCCATCCTTTTCCATCTTGGCACAATACATAAGAAGCATCTTCATGATGTCCAGGCTTCCAGATTCTGCACAATCATGCAATGCAGTATTGCCTTAAAGAGAAGAAAAAAAAGAAGTAATGTTCTGAGAGACCAGAAATAAAGTAATACGTGTATTACATTAAGAATCTAAAGAAGAGCAGGTAGCTCCAAGGCACCTGTAGGTGGGACATATTCTGATTACAAATGAGAGAAATTTATACCCAACACCTAGAATTAGTATCAGACACACAGCAGAGGTAAAGGAAATAACTTGTTGAATCAATGAAATGTCCACATTGGGTCAAAAAGTATCCAAAGTCACCAGATCAAACTCAAAGCTGAAATATGACAAATCCGTATTTGCCATTAGAACTCTGAATTGAAGAACTGCGTATTCTATGACTAAAAACATTAAATGAAATTAATTAGCTATCACAGTTTTGCTGACAGTCACTTAGGTTTGTGAGTCAGCTTCTCCATATATAAATGAGGGATCTAATCTATAATATATAACAAAACAACTGCCGTCAAGTTGATTTTGACTTATAGTGACCCCTCCTTGGGTTTCCAAGGCAGAATCTCTACGGAAGTAGATTGCCCATTCTTCCTTCT